TTGGACACCAATTTTTCTCCGCCCGAGCATCGTCTTTCTTCCAAGACAAGGGTCTTGGAGGCGATTTTCCAATTGCAAAAATTGCATCTCATTTACTCGATTCAGACTCAGCTCCTTTTGTCCTCTTTTTTTCAGTGATGAGGCCAATACTAATCTGTTCGAGTTGATTGATCAAGACCACTCCGGTAAGATAAGTGAGACGGAATTGAGGAGTATCCTGAACAAATGCGGGCATAACTTCGACATGGAGGCGATTGAAGCCTTTATAAAAGAGCACGATAAAGACGAAGATGAACAGCTTGACATAGAGGAATTCAAGAAATTTATGAGAACCTTCTGCTCTTGTCATCCGTAGTCTGGGCCCTCTCCTTGTAAAGTGTACTTTTAAATAGTAACATGTTACCCGCAGAAAGCGTTGTTTTGATTCTAGCCTCAAAGCTTGTAATCACGCCTTCCCAATTTCTTCTTGTTCATTCTTAGCAGCCCCACAACGGAACCGGACCATCCTTTGTATTAGAAGACCACCGGAATCTTTGGACAGTGCTAAGAGGAGTTATTTGGGCAAATCCACCGCCATATCTCCAAGACAATCCCCATTCGGCTTCCTATAGGACCATTTACATATTCCTTCTGCTCACCCTCTCACACGAACATTTCACACACTCTGAGTCACCGTCCCTATGATGTCCGGATAAGACGACGTAGTACCTTTTCGCTGCAAAATGGAGGGTACAGCAACAACAATAGTCTCCCTTAGTTGCATAGAAATGGTTCGACGATAATTTCCAGAGTTGGACCATGGACTTGGTACACTTGAGAATGCACTAAGTCCATGGCCCGACTCTAAAAATTATCGTGGCTACTATGGCAGCAGACTTCCCACAAGATGCGTTCATCTAGATCACCCGGGCAACTCGACAAAGTTGCGAAAAAAAGTTCGAACCGTTTAAATGGATCTGCAGTACTCATGGCGACTTGTTGTGAGGATGTATGATACTGGCCCCAAAACCTGGAGTTGTTTCCTACAAGTTACTTGGTAGAACATCGAAACACCACCCGCCAATTCAAGAAGGTCGCTTTCATAATCATCTCTTTTCTTCAAAGAGGTGGCTAGTGTGATGTCCTTTAGACAATTGTGACTGTTGCACGCTTGCCTCAGGCCTTCGCTTGGGCTCAGTTTCGCCGAACCCAAGTCAGTCAAGGAAGTAGAAAAGAGAATAATAACAAGTATTCGTATTGAGTATGTTTCGAAAGTACCAGTAGATCATGAATAATGGTTGCGATGAAGAACTGATCGTTAAATTTACTACAATCCTATGAGTAGGTCTTGATAAGGAAGGCCAGGCCTGTCCGATATTACATATTTTGTGGTGGGATGCCTACTGATATGATTGTGGGAGGCTTCAACTACCAGTCTTTCATCACCGCATGAGACCCAGAGTGAGTATGGATCTTATTCAACAAATACCTAAATCCACCGATGAGGCTGACTCAAATGGCTTTAATGCAAGCGGAGCCCCACTTCATACCAACTGATGCTGGCACACCTTTCATTTCGCTTGAAGAGGTGAGAGGAAGGGATTCATAAGCTTGCCTACCCGGAAGCTGAGGGCGAATTGCCCTAGACCCTCAACTGAAGATTTGTACGAATTAGTCTCCGGCGAACCAGCCCGTAAACTCGACGATCACTTGCTGAACTTTCGTCCATCATGTGACGGACATCTTCAGAGCAGGACACCATACTTTACGCTCATTCACAAAAAGACCCAGTTCAGATCATCATTTGTATTTTTGATTCTCCAATTTTGACGCATGTGATTGCGTTTCATGTTCGGGACTCGTGTGGGTGTGAAAGTGAAAAATCAGATTAGGAACTAATCACGCCTCCTCCGCTTGCATTCTTTCTCTATCTATCTATCTATCTATCTCTCTCTCTCTTTACCTACCTACCTATATATATATATATATATATATCCTCTTACGAGTTGTAACTCACTGGCGATACTGGTGAAGTGTCTGGGAATGCACCAAGTTCATGAATCAACACTGGGAATTACCATAAATTCTATAGCAGACGACCTCGGATAAGGCGTGTACAACTAGGTCACCCTGACAACGCGACCAGAGTCAAGCTACTTCTGCCGGCCGGTATGCTTAGTACTACAGATTCCATAATATTCCGCCTACTGCTATAATCTCCATATCCAGCTAAGCTCTTGGTTTAAGACCAGTCTATTTGGTGTTCTGCGTGAGCAGAGGCTTCGGCCAGTTCCCATTGTTTCGACCCATAAACCTCTGTTGGCTGTTTTATGTATGAGTCTGCAGGTCTCTCCCGCCTACATAAATTTGTAACGGCCCGAACTGGAGAGAGGGTCTGGATATTTTCTGAAGAGGGCATTACTTAGGAAAGGGTCATTTTACTCTTATACATTGCCCTGATGTCCCACATTTTCAATTAATGGCCCATCTTTTTCGACAGATGACACGATGGTAAGAGCTGGGTAGTTGGGCTGCTTGTCCCCTCGCAGGATGCCATTGTGACTAGCTATTGCGTGCCCTTAACCTGACAACTCAAATTTTTGAATATCATTTAACTTTATTTAGTCCCATTCCCTCAGTTTAACGGGACTGGACCACAGTTTAGAAGTTGTGATGGTGAAGAAGGGGATACGAAGATATGGGACGCGTAAATGAACCAGGACAGAAGGCGAGAAAGTTGGTCAGGGCATGAAGTTTACTTGCTGCCGGCAAACCTTTCATTTCGTTTGAGAAGACGGATGGAAAGGATTCATAGACTGGTCTCACGGGATACCGAAGTGGAGGTACCTTTGAATTGTGACTGTGGGATCGCCGAAGGAGACCTCGGTTCACCGTCCCAGGACCTCGATGAATCCACGCTTAGTTTTTGTCCGTCATGTGACAGACATCGTCACAACAAGAAACAATCATTATTTGTCCTTTTTGCTGATAGTGGCTTCTGGCTGTGACGATGTCCATCTAATGTCGGAGGAAAACTGAGCACGGATGGATCGGAGGTCAAAACAATTTAATTTCTATCCCGTAAGGCCAATTTACGAATTCCTTCCATCCGCTTCTCAAACAAACTGTAAAATATGCCAACATCAAGCTACTAAGGGAATCTCCGAAACCCAGCTTTTCTTCATTCGAACTGTACTTGTCTCTTTGACGAGTTTTACTTTGGTGCTA